TATTAATATCTTATATTAGTATGGTACATTTCCCACAATTAATGAACCAATATTGATTTATTTCTTTCAACTAGACTTTACTTTTTGATAGTAAGTTTCTAGAATATGTGGAATCAGAGATGTTGCTATGACCACCTTTGAAGAATATAGTCTGCCACACTGAGGTATAAGCAGAAACCAATCTTATGCTTTTTCCTACTCCCTCTTTAAACTGCTCTGTGAATTCATTTTTCCCTATGCTTTAAATAAAATTTCAGTCTAATCTCTTACTATAGCAGGCTGTATTTACCTTTACTTGGTGTTTCTCTCTACAGGAGGATTATACATTCCTGCCCTCGTGACCTCAGGTGTAGCCATATGACTTGAACAGGATTAATGTGTCACTTCAGGGCAGAATCCTCTATAGGCAGCATGGGGTTTACCATGTTTTTCTTTCCCTCTGTCATGAAGACAAACAGTGTTATAGGTGGTGACTATTCCCTCAGTCTAGATCCCAGAGTGAACCATACTCACAGCCAAGCTAAAGTTGATGTGGTCTAGCACACCCCTTTATGGTATGGGGGCTAAGTGTCATGTGTTACATAGTTCTGCATCTCTGGGCCTCTCTAAAACACACGGAGTTCTTGTAGGCTTTACTGAAATGCCAAAACAAACAAACAAAAAAAATCCTGTCTTGAAATCCCATTTCTGCTATTCCTTAGAGTTATCTTTCTTTAGATTTATGTGCATGAAAACATTTCACAAAATTTTAAAATGCAAGATTATTTTAAAAATCAACATTAATATATAGAAGGGAGGCTGGGCGCGGTGGCTCAAGCCTGTAATCCCAGCACTTTGGGAGGCCGAGGCGGGTGGATCACGAGGTCAAGAGATCGAGACCATCCCGGTCAACATAGTGAAACCCCGTCTCTACTAAAAATACAAAAAATTAGCTGGGCATGGTGGCACGTGCCTGTAATCCCAGCTACTCAGGAGGCTGAGACAGGAGAATTGCCTGAACCCAGGAGGCGGAGGCTGCGGTGAGCCGAGATCGTGCCATTGCACTCCAGCCTGGGTAACAAGAGCGAAACTCCGTCTCAAAAAAAAAAAATATATATATATATATAGAAGGGAGAGCATCTGCATAGATCCAGGACTACAATAACATGTGGCATCCCATAAATCACTTAATGTCTGTGTTGCTTGTTATTCTGGTAAGTGGGAAAGTCCTATTTTAAAAAGGTGTTAAGAAAAACTAAACTATGTACGGAATATATAAATTAACACATCTTAGAGTACTATTTTTGGCTACCTTTACAGAGATATAATTATTTTAACAGATCTTTTTCATGACTTTTCTTTATAACTCCCAAAAGCTAAAGAATGTGTATATGACCAAGACGCCAAATAGATAATAGAACTGGGTCTCAGTCCTCCTGCTTAATTACTTCCCTATTAAGCATAAGTATTATTTTTGTTGTTTTCTTCCCCTATATCCTTCTGTATTATAGTAGGATAAGATGAAAGATAAAGGAAATTATGTGCCTTTCCTAAAGTCACCTAGCGTCTTCTTTGGATCTGAGACTAGAACACACTTCTGCTTCAGGTGACTACTTCATCCCTCCCCTCCTTGTCATTACTTTCATTTAAAAAATTCTACTGCATGACAGAGAACGACATTACTCTGTCATAGTTTGTTTCTGTATTATAGGTATCTTTTCATGCAAAATCATGTACTACGTATGTATTGGTGAGCAGCAGAAAATATTAAATCCATATAACTAGGCATTTCTATACTTCTCATAGGTAGCAAGGCTATCAATATGCCCCTTTGTGAGAGTAATTGGGATGATGAAAAGCCGACTTTGAGAAATGGTGGTTTGGCAGTAGCAGTAGGTACTGACCAGACAAGAGAATGAAGAAGTAGATGGATATAAATTATCTACATGACCCAGAAATTGCCATCCCTTTGATATCATTGACAAGCATAGATTATGAACCCTAATTCCTATTCATAAAATTCTCTTAAATGCAAACAGCATAAACAGTCATATATTTCTTATTAACAGGAATATATTCCAAGAAATGTGTCATTAGGAGGCTTCATCGCTGTGTGAACATCATAGAATGTACTTATACAAACCTACATGCTAGGCTATATGATATAGCCTATAGGTCCTAGGCTAAAACCTGTACAGCATGCTACCGTACTGAATACTGTAGGCAATTTTAACACTATTGTTATTTGTGTATCTCAACATATCTAAACATAGAAAAGGTAGAGTAAAAATACACTATTATAATCTTAAGGGACTATCATCACATATGCACATCCTGACCAAAATATTGTTATATGGTGCATGACTGTATTTCTCCCTTCAGACTGGCAGCTCCATGATTGCAGGAGTCATGTCTGCTTTTTATAGTCTTAAGCCCAGTAAAGCTTCTGGTTGAAGTGATCATTAAATATTTTTTGAATAGATGCACTAAATGAATAGATCCAGCCTTTTGTCTTTTCTTCAGAGTATTCTTTGGGTACGAGTAGGCTCCTATCCAGTTACTGCATTCAGCTCAATGTCTAGGATCTCCAGGGATAGTGGGGGTTTCCTTAGTTTGAAAGTGATTCTTATGGTCCAATGGCCTATGAACTTATAAGAGGCAACAATCTGTTTCCCACTCTCACCCAATAAATAATGGTGAAGAAGGGATACAATAATCACAATAAAAAAAATCTATTAAAAAAAAAGAAGAAGAAGAAGATGTGCAGTGGGCATTGGCCTATAGCAAATGCTGGTAGCCTGCAAGACAGGCATTATGAAATTCCCTACTCTTTGATCAGGCCTTGACTCTACTCTCTGGTAGGGCACCTCTTTAACATCATCCTGGGAGATCTTTCTTTCCATCCTTTAGGTTTTATTCCATTTCCTTGGTCCTCCTTGGGAAAAGGGGCTGTTTAGCTTTTGCAGCTCACTTCTTGAAGAAATAAGCTTGGCTATTGCTAATAGTTTTGTCACTATCATTTGTTTTATTTTGCACATTTTATATAAATTTTATGGAGGAAGAATATTCATTAAAATATCCATTTTTAAGTGTACAATTCAATGAATTTTCACAAGTATAGATATACTATTACCTCAGTCAAGGCATAGAATATGTTCATTACCCAATAATTTCCCTTGGGTTTTCTTTGCAGTCACTTTTCCCCCTGACTCACTCCATCCCTGCCCCAAGTGTCACTGATATGCCATTGCTGTAAGTTTTATACGTTCTAGAATTTCATCAAATATCCAGCTAGCATTAACACCTCTGATTGCTACATAGATGTTATAATATAGTTTAAATTGTTTGTGTGAATCAAATTCAAATAAGAACTGCATACTCAAAATGATTCACATATCCTTTAAGTCTCTTTTAATTTCCTTCTTTCTCCTCTCATCCTAATAATTTGTTGCAGAATCTAGGTCACTTGTCCTGTAGATTTTTCTGACAATCTAGATATTGTTGATTGCATTGGGTATTTAACATGCTCCTCTGTCCTCTATTTTTTGTAGATGGTAGTTCTATTTAGAGACTTTATCTGATTCTGGTTTTTTTTGTTTTGTTTTGCTTTGGTTGTTTTTGGCCACACGCATTTTTAAATGCGTTGACATTCTTTTGATTGAGTAATAGAGAACTAAATATGCAAAATAGTGAAATTTATTGACTCATATAACTGAAAATTCTAGCGCATATCATGGATTTGGGGCTCATACCATGTAATCACATCCTGGTTTTTCTATCTTTCTGCTTCATACTGGTCTCTTTGAGTTTTGGCTTCATTCTCCATGGCTTCTCTGGTTCAAATCCATAGGAAGTAAAATTGCTTCCTGGTGGTTCAATTTTACGTCATTGGCAGTCATTGGCCTGGCTTGGGTATGTGTACATCCTGGACCAATTAATCACATTAAGGAAATATGATATTCTGATTGGCCTGATTAGGGTGCCATCGTGAAGGCAGTTTCACAGGAACCACTTCAACTGATACTCAATTTAAAGACTTTTAGTCTTGTCCCATCACAGTTTTGCAGAGATAAATTTATTTTACAAAACAGAATTATTAGCGACTTTCTACTGTGTGTTTACATAGAATTACCTTTTTTGTTGTTGAGAGGAAGTCTCACTCTGTTGCTCAAGCTGGAGTGCAGTGGCGCGATCTCAGCTCACTGTAACCTCCACCTCCCGAGTTCAAGCGATTCTCTTGCCGCAACCTCCTGAGTAGCTGGAATTACAGGCACGCGACACCATCCATGTCAGGCTAATTTTTTGTATTTTTAGTAGAGACGGGGGTTTCACCATGTTGGTCAGGCTGGTCTCAAACTCCTGATCTTGTGATCCACCCACTTTGGCCTCCCAAAGTGCTGGGATTACAAGCGTGAGCCACAGCCCCCGACTAATAATCATTATTTAAAAACAGTAATTCCATCTAAGTGGAGGGGAATAGAGTGTGTTTTAGGTAGTAAGGTGTAGGGGAAGGCGCCTTAGAACTGTTCCCCAATACTAAGTCGCGGTCACCTACTGTCTCTTGTCAGAGAGGTGAGCCCTGTGGAAATAATGGTAGAGCCAAGTTTCAATACAGGATAAAGTGATCAACAGAGGTCGGGAAAAGGGAGAAGGGAGAGTGGGAAGTTGACCGTAGGCCCATAAAGGAAACACGCAGGACACAGGGTGACAATGCATTTAAGGGGTGCGAACACTTCAGGTGAGGTTATTGTGTGGAAGAGCTCAGAAGTGGAACTTGGTCTACTTTACCAGGTTATTTTTAACGTCGACTGCAGAGTACTAGTAGTTTCATTTTTTTGGCGGTGACTGCCAGCATCAGAGTGCGGTAGAAGCTTGATGAGAAAGGTGAGGATACCCTAGACGGGATACAGAGTCCCGCGGGCGGTCGCAGTTGCGGGAGTCAGAGAGCTTCAGTCGGCCCGGCCTACCTACGGCCCGCTAAGGCCGACCGGAACCACGCCCCTCCCGGGGACCGGCTCCGCGATTGCGTCACTTCCGGCCCTCAGCGATTCGCCTCCGGGTTAGGCTGAGCCTCCTGCTTTCTGTGACTGGTGGAGCTGCCGCGCTGTCCGCGTTATCTCCTCCCGGTGAGAACGAACCGCAGTGTCCACCGGCGAGGAGCCAGCCCTGTCCCGGACAGAGAAAGACGACGAGGATACCTGGGAGCGGGCGGCGGCCGGGCTGGGCCGCGCCAGTGCGGGCTGGCGACTCTGCTCCTCCGCTTGCTGCTGTTTCTGGGAACTGGGTGCCAGCGCTGAGGGGCTTCCAGCGGACAGGGACCCCCTTCCCCGGCTCCCCTGCCCACCCTGCCGGGGAGGGCGGAAGATGCCGGTGAAGAAGAAGAGAAAATCCCCTGGGGTGGCAGCAGCAGTAGCGGAAGACGGAGGCCTCAAAAAATGTAAAATCTCCAGGTACCATCTCCCCCCACCCTTCGAGCTTTCCTCCTCCCTCCTTTGCTGGACAACGGGAGGAAAAGGAGTCGGGCCCGGCCTACCGGGCTGGGGCTGGAGACAGGTGAGGCCCCTTTGATCGAGCTAGGCGGTAGGTGCCGAACACCGCGAGTCTCCGCGCCCGACCCGACCTCGTGTTCCAGTGTGTGCACGCTGACGATTATGGAGAGACTAGAAGAGCCGCCCACGTTATGAGTCTACGTGCCCTACAGGGTGGGGAACAAATGCATATGTAAATTGCGCTTCAACCCCCCTGCCCCCAACCGACCCCCAGTCTGCTACTCACTTACCGCTCCTCTGCCTTTTTCTAGACTTAGAAGTGAGTACAGATCCGCAGAAGGGTCACTTCTAGAATTTCTTTGTAGAGTGTGAAGAAAGCAGAACATGAGGAATCTTGACAACTGTCTTGGGAATGGTAGAAAGGAAAACTTGTATGCTATAATTGGCATCCATATTTAGTATTTGTAGTGGCCTAACCCGGAAGGTCCCAGCAGGAGGCCTTTTAAATTGCTGGAGCCCCAGTTTCTGGAACTACAGTGCTTCACCTATGCCAAGTCCCTGTGTGCAGAGTTGGAAAGGCCCTGCATGCGTTTTGTCTTCTAGCATTCAGGACGCTGTTAGCTCTCAGTATAAATTTAATAATTTGTGAGCTCTTGTACTGTGTGTCCTCTTGGTAAGAATACAAGGCAGAACTATGTAGTTGTAGTTCTTTGATCCCTTTGTAGCATATCATGGAGGCATCACAGCAAAATTATATGCTACAAAAAATAATTGCAATTTTGGTTTGAGAATTTTTTTTTTTTTTTTTAATTTAAGAGCGAGAGTCTCGCACTGTCGCCCAGCCTGGAGTACAGTGGCGTGATCCTCTCACTGCAACCTCTGCCTCCCGGGTTCAAGCGATTCTCCAGCCTCAGCCTCCCGAGTAGCTGGGATTACAGGCGCCCGCCACCACGCCCGGCTAATTTTTTGTAGTTTTAGTAGAGACTGTTTCTCTATGTTGGCCAGGCTGGTCTTGAACTCCTGACCTTGTGTTCCTCCCGCTTTGGCCTCCCAAAGTGCTAGGATTACAGGCGTGAGCCACTGCGCCCGGCCGAGAAGTGCTTTTTTAAAAAATACCCATATTAGCTGCGTTTTCATCAATAGCTGGCACTTGATATGACAACTTTAGATGCTGCTATTAAAAGAAGACAGTATAATGATAGAGCTCTCCGTAAAGAGAGATCTGCTTAAACTGTGAAGTAGGTGACTTACCTAGTCTGCATCTTCTTTTTTGTAACTGGGCGACTTTTTCCCCTCATTACTGTGTTTTGGTAAAGGAGTCTAAGGAGTATTTCTTGGGCTATTAATGTGAAAGATGACTTTTCCTATACCTCTTGTTAGCTAACATTAGAATTTGACATGGTTACTTTAGTAGCTCATATTTTTATGAGATATAGGCAAATTATTATTCGTTTTTGTATTACTCTATCTCATGGCCATCTTAAGTAAATATATCAAAATTATTTCAGCAAAGTATGTTTAGATAGCTGAGCAGGCAGTATTACTAGAACTCAGGTGATACTTTGCGCAATCAATTTAAATTTTTAAATATGATACTCTTACTTTACTCAATTACAGAAGTTCTAGCATTTCCATATCATTGTGGAAGGGTAATTATTTGAGTTCCTTGAAAACAGTTTCTCTGAAGGTCATTAAATCCTAGAGGCCATTTTGAACTTACCAATTTTAGTTATTTTATAAAAAACAATGAAAATGATTTTATGAAAAAAAACAGAATGGACAGAAGCTGGGATTAAATAGCCTTGTCCTAATTATTTGGACCATTATTAACTTTTAGGGTTTGTTGTTGTTGTTGTTGTTTTTAATCTGTGAAATTTAATATACCCCGAAGTCTTAAGTCATCATTTATCTTTAAAAATCTTTTTAATCTTAGATGATAAAACAACTTTTAATATAACATTTTATTTTGAAATATTGATTCACTAAGTATCAAAATATACTTTGTAAGAGGTTGTTTTAAAATATGTTTCGATTAAGCACAAATAGAATTTCTATACAAATCAGTAGTAGAATCACAATAAAGATTTATACATTCCCAACTACTAAGTTGAATTTCTTTGTAGTCTTGTAAAATGTGGGGAAATAACTTACTGATATTTTTGGATTTTGATACTGAATAAAGAGGTGTTTGGGTTTTGTTAGCTGATAATTCTTATGTATAGATTACTGTTTCAAGTTGCAATTACTTAACAACTTCAATTTTTTTCCAATAATGCCAACCAAAGGGGAAGAAAATGCTTTAATATGAATTGAAGTAGTTAATTTTGAACTTACTTTTTCACTAAGAGTTGAGATGTGATAAAAATCTTAGGCATCTGTGTGTTTTCTAAGCTATTGCAGATCCCAACCCCCTGCTAGACTAATAAGTGGAGAGGAACATTTTTCAAGCAAGAAGTGCCTGGCTTGGTTTTATGAATATGCAGGTAATGAAATTAATATAAGAAGATATCAGTCATATGCTTTAAAAAGTTTCATTGGCTTACTCATTTAACAAATTATCTGTTCCAGGCTTGCTATGTATTAGTGCTGTGTACTGGGATCGGGGTCAGGACTAAAGATTGTGGGTAGGCTAAAAACTTGTTGCCAATTTAGGCTGATATTTCTTTAAAATACATATTCAGTACATATTTACTGGGAGGGAAGAAACTCATTTACTATTAATAAAATATGTAAACAGACAGATTCTCTTATTTACATTCATTGGCTAAAGTAGCATTCTGGAAAATAAAAGGTACACAATAAAACATTTTTTGTATTTGATATTGTGGAAAACACAAAGTACATCATAAAACATTTCTATTTAATCTCCTTTTTGGAAATTTTTCTGAACTAATTCTGAAACTTTTAGGGAGACATAGTGAAAGATTTAAACCCCTCATAGTTAGACAACACATTTACCTTTTCATAATTATCATTTAGTGGTCCACTTCCACTAGAGATGCAAGGGTAAGAAAATAAGTAGACCGATATTAATACAATGTGATAAATACTATATTCAGAAGATACACTGTGAGAGTTCATAGGAGGAATATATAACCCAGCTTTTAAAGTGTCATGGGAGTTTTCTAGAGGCACTAACTTAACCTCAGCTAAGTCCTATTAAGTGGTAGATGAAGAGCCCTAGGCCCAGGGTGGGGTTGTGTTTTAGAGGTGAAAGTCAAAGCCAGCCAGAGATGAGGCTGAAGAGTTAAGCAAATATATGCAAAAGAAGACTTATTTTCCATTTATACTAACTTTCTCATAAGCATATATGAAATTTTTTTCCCCTTAGAATAGTTTTTTTTATTTTAGAGTTAACTGATTTTAAAGGTTTGCTTTTCTTTTTCTTTTCCCTGTTTCCTTTTTTTTTTTTTTTTTTTTTTTTAACAATCTGCTTTCCTTTTTGGTTTTTGTGGGTTTTTTCCCCTTCTTTTTATCACCATCATTCTCCAAATTTTGTTTAAAATGAAAGTGTATATGTAGCTATTGCCTTGTACGTAGTGCTCATCCACATTAAGGTCTAAAGTGGTATACTTTGAACTTTAGGCTAACTGTATGGAATATGAGACTATTTTGAAAGGGGGCAGTAACTTCATTGTTGGGATCGGCTGAGTGATCCCAAAAGTACAATTTTAAAATTGTCTAGTAACAGAACCGATTCTTTCTAGACCAGAAATAAAGGCTATTACTGGCATCCCAAGACAACCACTAACCCAATTTAAATAAAGGAAATTCATTTCTTACTGACCTCCATTTAAAATGTTGACCCATTATTCCAAATGCCAGTTTTACTGGTATGCATGTTACAAAATCAAAAGGTTACTCATCTTATTTCACTTATAAAGGTTACTAGACACCATAGAAATAGAAAATATTTGCCTCAACTAGGAACTTTTCTAGGTAGCATAAGATTCTAATTAAACATTTGTTTACTGTATTAGCATTTTTAATAGCCAAAATAATAATTGCTATTATTCCAGGAATTGTTCTAAGTATATATTTTTTCTTGTGACTGTTCTGTTAAGTAGGTAGTATTATCACCACTTCCGCCCCAACTTTATTTTTTGACACAGGGTCTCACTCTGTCTCAGGTTGGAGTGTAGTGTTGTGATGATGGCTCACTGCAGCCTTGAGCTCCTGGGCTCAGGAGATCCTCCCACCTCAGCCTTCCTAGTAGGTGAGAGTATAGGCATGTGCCACCACCCCCAGCTAATTTTTTAAATTTTTTGTAGAGATGGGGTTTCACCATGTCGCCCAGGCTGGTCTCGAATTCCTAGGCTCAAGTGCTCTATCTGCCTCAGCTGCCCTAAGTGGTGGGATTACAGGCATGAGCTACCATGCCAGGCCGTATCCTCATTTTATAGATGAGAAAATGGAGACTTAGATTAATTAATTTGCCCCAGATCATATAGTGACAGAAGCCAGGATTCAAACCCAGGTCCTTCTGATTCTAAAGTCCATGCTTTTAATTACTGTTGCTTTTATGCATTTTTAATTTAAATTTATAATGTTTATAATTATATATAGTAATAAACATTATTTTATGTTTATTTTTTATTTAAACTAATTTTCACTTTTGCAAAGAAAATATTGGTACTCTTGGTTAACTTGTGTTAACCATTCAATAAATATTGAGTACTTGTTTTGAGTCAGGCATTGTGCTGAGTGCTGGATATATAGTGCTGAGCAAGTCAGACGAGATCCCTGCCCTTGGGGGACTTGCCTTCTAGTGAGGAAGATAGTCAGTAAACAGGTATGTAGGTAAGATAAGTACAGATTGTGGGGCATTATAAGGATAAATATGGTGAGATTTAGGAATAGAGAATAAGGAAGGGTTAGATGGACTTCAGTGGAGACCACTTTGTACCTGATAAGGGAGGAACCATTTGTTTGCCAAGTAAACAGTAACTGTTCTGTCTTGAAATAGGAATGTCCAGCCGGGCGCGGTGGCTCAAGCCTGTAATCCCAGCACTTTGGGAGGCTGAGGCGGGTGGATCACGAGGTCGAGAGATCGAGACCATCCTGGTCAACATGGTGAAACCCCGTCTCTATTAAAGATACAAAAAATTAGCTGGGCATGGTGGCACGTGCCTGTAATCCCAGCTACTGAGGAGGCTGAGGCAGGAGAATTGCCTGAGCCCAGGAGGCGGAGGTTGCGGTGAGCCGAGATCGTGCCATTGCACTCCAGCCTGGGTAACAAGAGCGAAACTCCGTCTCAAAAAAAAAAAAAAAAAAAAGAAATAGGAATGTCCTTATTAAAATGAAGGCAATAATTGTGCCTACTGAGAATAATACATGTAAAGCCCTCAGCATAATACCTGGTATATAGTCAGAACTCAAATATTAGTTTAGCATTACCGCATCAGATTTACTCGTTGTCTGTTTTTTACAGTGTTCCAAAATTCAGTACTCTTATTGAGCTCATGTTGAAGGCGCTGTGTCACTGAGCATGTTTTTTTTTTACCCCCTAAGCATCTGTTATGGCTGGCATGGTGTTAGGCCTTGCAGATATAGCTGGGAAGATTTCTTTATAGCTATAAAGAAATCAGAAAATTGATGATGTTTTTCTTTTAGTTTTGAAAATATCACTAAACTTGTTACTATGGTATTATATCATGTGTGATAAGACTGTTGGTTTTGTTCTTTCACAAGACCTCTCATTCTTGAGTGATATTTAAATTAATAATGATTCGGTAATATACTGGCCTATGGTAATTAAAAACATGGAAAGTGAAAGGACAGTTTTAAAGTCTCATAGAGTCAAAAAATAAGGTTGGAATTGCATAATCCTAAGATACCTAGTTCGTAGAGTGAAGTGAACAAGTAGGATGAACAAAATCATTTCTATAGCCTCTTCAGTTGAGTGGAAACTTAGTTATCCAGAAAAGTTAATTAAATTTAGCTCCAGAGGTTTTACCCAGAGAGTAGTTTTATTAGAAAGATTGGAAGTAATGTTGTTGAAAGGATTAACATTTTGCAGTCTGGGGAAAGCACATTGGTTTCAGACCTTGCTTTAGACTTAGATCCGTTACTATTTGCATTGCTTTGACTAAGTGAGTTAACATTTACAGACCTTATCTAAGTTATAAGGCATTATATCTCTATGTAATCTCCTTTGACTTGATTCTAACCAAATTTTAATTTGTAATCATCAAGTAATCCTCCAGTTTCTAGGGGTGCTATACTGATATTTCTTTTCTTTTTTTTTTTTTCTTTTGAGATGGAGTCTCACTCTGTTGGCCAGGCTGGAGTGTAGTGGCACCATCTTGGCTCACTGCAACCTCTGCTGCACGGGTTCAAGCAATTCTGCTTCTTCAGCCTCCCATGTAGCTGGGGTTACAGGCGCCTGCCACTGTGCCTGGCTACTTTTTGTAGTTTTAGTAGGAACAGGGTTTCGCCATCTTGGCCAGGCTGGTCTTGAACTTCTGACCTCATGATCAACCCGCCTTGGCCTCCCAAAGTGCTGGGATTACAGGCATGAGCCACCGTGCCTGACCTATACTGATATTTCTTGACATCTTCAGCTTTCTCTTCTAGTCACTAGTGGCAACTTTGAGAACAAGTTTGTTTTTTTGCTGCCTTCGAAAAATTTACAGTGTATTCTCATCATTGCTTTAAAAAAAAACCATTTTTCTTTTCCCTTAATTTTTAATTGTTTATTTATTTTTTTTTTTTGAGACAGGGCCGTGCTCTTGCCCAGGCTGGAGTGCAATGGCGAGATCATGGCTCACGAGGAGCAGCGTCAAACTCCTGAGCTCTAGCAATCTTCCCACCTCAGTCTCCTGGGTAGCTGGGACCACAGACTGGCACCACCACACTTGGCTATTTTTTTCCCCTAGAGACGAGGTCTCCCTATGTTGTCCAGGTTCGTCTGGAACTCCTGGGCTCAAATGATACTCCTACCTTGGCCTCTAAAAGTGCTGGGATTACTGGCATTAGCCATCACATCTGGTCCCCTTAAATTTTTAAGTCTGATTTTTGATTTCTTTCAGTCATATATAAGAATACTCAGTTATGCATTTTTAACACCTTTATTGTATATGTATGCCTTTTAAATTACAAAATTAACGCATTCTCATTTAAACAATTCTCCAAATAAATAAGGAAGAGAAAGTGTCCTATAATTATCACCCCCTTCACCTTTTAACACATGAATGTATTGTTAATACTCATTTAAACCCAATCACATTTACCATGTTACACAAAAAACTTCACAGCGGTTTTGGTTTCAGACTATGTATTAATGTCATCTTAGCAGCTTGGATCTCAGGCAGCAAGAATGTATTGACTTTGTGTTGTGCTTGGTGCTATCAAAGCTACCTGAACAGTGTTGGTCTAGTCTGGTTTATAAAGCTGGAGGATTTTCATCCTTTATAAAGGAAAATAGAGGCTTCTCTTGACTATTAAAGAATTATATTTCAAGATTATATTTTCAAAATCCCATATGGTAAACACATTTCTCTCATATTATTACAAAATTTGTTTTTTAGCCTTACCTAGTCAGAAAAGAGACTTAGTGATGATGTAATTACTATATTGTGGGAATCTGGTAACATTTTGGAAAAATGACAATTGATGTGTTGACTTCTTAAGGTTACTAAGGGCATAAAATAAGGAAAAAGTTAAATACCAGTAATTAATTTTTGGACAAATGATAGATAGTAGCTAATTAAAAGATTAAACTTTTGTTTCTACCTTAAGGTGACATTAATGCTTACTGTCTGTTTTAGAACCAAGATGATAAGGAAAATAGCTCTTTCTGGAAATGGAATGTAGTAATTTCCATAAGTCATTATTTTCAAAATATGTTTATATATTTCAGTAAATAAATTATATTTGAGTATATTTCAAAAGGGTAATAAATGGCCTGTTTTATAAGTGAACATATTTCCTTTCTGATTACTATATGAACTTTCTTTTGGTTCTGACAGTCTAGTAAATTAAGAAGCTCCAGCTGCCTTATGTTTTTTCATATTCATGCATTGTCAAAAATTTTATTCAGAGTAGGCGCTCAGTAAATGTTTTTTTTAATGGATAGGTTTAAGTTTTTGTACTAACTCATGATTGATACTAATGGAGTATTTCTTTGCTGCTTTTTAAATTTTCTTAATTTCATATTGTAATGTGGTTCTCAAAGAATACTTCACAAATTTTAAATTTAAATCTTGTAGCAAATATTTATACTTATCAAAGCTATGCCAAAATTCAAATTTAATGATTTGCAAAATATTATGGTGTATTCATGGATACCTTTAGCATGATGGTTTATATTTTATGTTGATATTATAACAAAATATGTAAATTATTTTTGTTTTGAAGGTCCTGATGAAGTTGTAGGGCCAGAAGGAATGGAAAAATTTTGTGAAGACATTGGTGTTGAACCTGAAAATGTATGTTTTATTTCTAAGTAGAATGGCATAAAAGTGGGGTATAGCATATTTGTAAATTTCTAAAAATTGGGACACTTTAATCTTGTCTGAAGATTTTATTTCTTCATGTTTAAAATTGTAAATTTTCATTAGGGTATTTTTAATCAGCTTAAGTTGGGCAAATTGTTCTTTCTTGATAGAAATTTTATATGTAATAGAATAAGAGATTCTACCTTCAGAAACTGTTAGAACTTTTTACTTTTAAGAAATTGGCACATCTCAATTTCTTTATATATAGTTAATTCCAGAGGTTGTACTCTTTAATAGTTGAAGGATGGAAGTAGTTATATAAAAATGCTCTCCATGATAAATACAGACATGATTATCTCTATGCTGACTTTTCCCCTATCCTTTATGTTCTGTTCTTTCCAGATTATTATGTTAGTTTTAGCGTGGAAATTGGAGGCTGAAAGCATGGGATTTTTTACCAAGGAAGAATGGTTAAAGGGAATGACTTCATTACAGTAAGAAATTTTTTTAAAAAACAAATTTGATGGCCTATTTGAAGATCTTAATTGATACTTTGTGCTTCATAATTTTCAGGAGTAAGGTTTCACCTTAAATCAAATCTGTTTGATCTATAACAATTAGTTTGGGGACTGAAAAAATTATATTGTGGTCTTGGCAAATGAAGAGGTACCCCATGTTTTATATTCTCTAAGAAAAAAACCTTAGTACAGTTCTATTAAAATTCTTTGATTCTCTTGGTGAGTGACTTAAAAGTCCATTATCAAAGACCTATTTATTTACAGGTTGTTTGAGTATAAGGTTTTCCCTCTCTGAAAACAGAATTCTACTATATAAGGAATATATTTGTTGGGCAGCCCTAAGCTCTTCTGGGGCCTCCTCTCTCCCTTCTTCACTTTTATATTTGACTTTAAAAATTTGAAGACAGAGTTACATAACACTTTTATGATTTCTTTATTGCCAAGTGAACTTCATAAAAGACAAAAGTAGAAATGTTGTAACCACTTCCATGCGATCTTTACACATTTTATAGTCCTACACTTTCAGTTTAGGATCCCGTCTTTGAACATTTTCATAGAATTGTACCTTATAAAAATAATTGGATTCTGGCTTTCCTGAATGGAGTGTGCTTAATTTCAATCAATTAGTAACTTTGTGTTAATTTTCTAGTATCATGTTTCTAATGTTCCTGCAGGGTATTAGTTACCAACATTCTAAAATAGAGGAAGCATTAATTTATAATATTTTTGAGGCAAAAACTGGGACTTAATTGGCTGTGTGGTTTCCTGTTGTGATTATGCTAACACATGTAATTAATTAACACATGTAATTAATCCTTATTTTTGGTCTGTCTTTAACTTTTTTAAAAAAAGTATATGGCACTTAAATTTTTAAATTTGAATTTTCAGTGCCTAATGATTTATAATTCTGTTTTAATAGACATTAACATGTAGACCTGTAGATATTTTATATATGTATTCTTGGGTAAAAGCCTTTGTTCATGTGAACCAAAACATAATTTCTTGAATGGAATGCAAATTCAACCCTCCCACTTCCATCTTTTTTATAGTCTGAGACCCAGAGAGGCTAAGAAAATATTTGGCGCAATTCCTTAGTAGTAGTGCTTAGTTAGAACCTAGAATTCAAATTTCCTGATTACCAATCTATAATACTGTATTCCTACTATATTGTTATTTTCTACATAAATTATTTTTCCTTTTAAAATAGGAAACCTCTATTTTTAAATTATAGCATTTGCTACCAATACTGAATTCTGCCATACATCTAGGTGTCATAATATTCCCAGATAAATACGTCAGTTCTGAAATTCCTTGGATTATTTCTCACCATTTAGTTAGCTTTTTAGAGAACGATTAAATATACAAAAGAATATGCAAAGAATATTGGTTTTATACACTCAGTGGGTTTTATTAAGATTTATGTTGTAATATTCATTAATAGAAGACATTTTATTTGTCATTATAAGTGGATTTTGGACTATCACTACTACTACTTTTTGGATACTGCTTTTTGAAGTATCTCAGCTAACAAGTGGCTGTATATTTTTAAACGTTAAAGTTTCTTATTTATGTTTTTTCCTAAGTTGATACCATATAAAAAGTCTTTATATAACAAAAATGTGTAAGCACAAAGCATTTCTAATATCTACTACTGAATAATTAACATCATGTGGTCATGGGTACAAGAACAGAAACTGACTAGCCCTTGAACATGTTTTTTTTTTTTTTTTTTTTTTTTTTGAGGTAGAGTCTCGCTCTGTCACCCAGTCTGGAGTGCAGTGGCGCGATCTCAGCTCACTGCAACCTCTGCCTCCCAGGTTCCAGTGATTCTCCTGCCTCAGCCTCCTGATTAGCTGAGATTACAGGTGCATGCCACCATGCCTGGTTAATACTTTGTATTTTCAGTAGAGATGGGGTTTCACCGTGTTAGCCAGTATGGTCTCGATCTTCTGACCTCATGATCTGCCTGCCTTGGCCTCCCAAAGTGCTGGGATTATAGGTGTGAGCCACCATGTCCGGCTGAGCATGGTTTTTATTAGCACACCTTTCCTATAGGAAGGTCACAGGGTATACAAAATAAAAGCAATTATTCAGCACTTAATATGTCCCAGAAGTTTCTCTTTTACACATTTATTATTCTTTCACCATTTGCCTGGAATAGCATACTGTAGAGCCTTGAAACTACTGAGACATGCTTGAAGTGAGCATTCTTTACCTGGAAAATAGTTGGTTTTTTCCCCTCACGATCTAGATTACCATGTAAAATACACTGTTTGTCCTCAATTAGCCAAGTCTTATTACTCCTTGAATTTTCTTATTAAAAAACTTGCTAAATAAAACAGCAAAGAAATTTGAACCAAAGATGACCAAAAAAAAATCTGTTATGTCTTAATTTAGAATTTATTCGTTGCTTGGTATACTTGGTTCTATATAATAAACATAATCTTAAAATATAAAACTTTAGTCTCAATTCCCTTTGGTATTTTTCATACTTTTATAATTTCACCTGGACATCTAATGATCTCTTAAATCATCTTAAGATAGTCATGAGTTGTTTCAATTAATTAATTTTAACTCATAAAACTGTTTAGAGCTATGTTAGTGTGTTAAAAAAACAGAGTCTGGTAGTTTAAAACACACTGTTCAAGGATAGTAGACTATAATAATCCTGATTAGTTATCTATATTGTGTAATGCTTTATAGTTTGCAGAATACTTTTTAACAGTTGTTTATTTTTATTCATATAGGCTTTTTACAACTGAATTAGCTTTCCTTCTTGTGCGAAAGACTTTGTGGGTATATGAACTTGCATGTAAATGACCTAGCGTAGCCATTTTCTAAGTTTCAGGGGATGAAATTTCCATGTGCTTTTCACATATATTCTTCCATGTAGTTTTCATTTTTGTTTAATAATAGCCAGATGTCCTTGCAAATCTAAGATGTTAATATTTTCTTTTTTTTTTTTTTTTCCTGGAGACAGGATCTGGCTCTGTTATCCAGACTGGAGAACAATGGCACAATCATGGCTCACTGCAGCCTTGATCTCCTGGGCTCAAGTAATCCTCCTGCTTCAGCCTCCCAAGTAACTGGGACCACAGGAACATGCTGCCACACCTGGCTAATTTTTTTTTTCTTTTTTTTTTTTTAAAGAGACAGTGTTTTGCTATTTTGTCCAAGCTGGTCTCTTAACTCCTAAGCTCAAGTGATCCTCCAGCCTTGGCCTCCCAGAGTGTTGCAATTATAGGCATAAGCCACAGTGCCCAGTATTAATTTTAATTTAATTTTGTAGTTTTTATATTAGATACCTATATTATGTAAGGTACAGTATCACTTACTGGTGATCACAGCAAGGCAAAAGATGCAGCTTTTGCCCTTTAGTTATATTATGCTAAGTCAGGGAAAACAAACATTACAATACTATAACCCAGCCAACCTTTATGGCGCCAGTTTTATGGAAGACGGTTTTTCCATAGATGGGGCAGGGGAGAAAGGACGGATGGCTTCAGGATAAAACTGTTCCACCTCAGATTATCAGACATTGGGTTCTCATAAGGAGCATGCAACCTCACATGCATAGGTTCGCACTTCAATGAGAATCTAATGCTGCTGCTGTTCTGACAGGAGGTGGAGTTCAAGTAGTAATGCTCGCTCACCCGCCTGCCGCTCACCTCCTCCTGTGCAGCCTGGTTCCTAACAGGCCCCAGACTGGTACTTATGCTCAGCCCAGAGATTGGGCACCCTGCTGTAACCATAAACCTAGGTAGAATACGACAAGTGCTAGAGTGGAAATACAAGATACTATGAAAGCACAGATGCTAGTAAGGTCAATTTCAGCTGAGTGAGTAGGTAGATCTTTTATAGGTGTGGCCTGTGAACTAGAATGTGAGGAATGATTAGGGATTTAGTTGGTTGAGGATATAGGAGAATGTTTCAGAAGAGGGAAATTGTGAGCAAAGCCTTGAGGAGGAAGGAAATTAAATGTTTGAGGGAAGTAGTTTGATTTCTTAGAATTGTAAGGTACATAAAGAAAATTGCCAGGATAGATTTGGAATTGTACCTATTTTGAGTGATGGCTTCGTTGTAGAGGGCTTTAGCTAATATGTTGAGAGAGTTTAAATCTATATTACAGATATTGGGAAACCGTCAGATTTTAAAGCACAGTAATCTTAAAAGATTTTTGGGATAATTTTCAATGAGCAATTGTTTTTAATAAAGTCATAGTCTCTTTTGAGAGTCTTTGGAGAACTGTGGACCTCATTCACATTAAGAGGCACATGTACTGCTGTACACAAAAATTTGATGTGCTATCAGGAGGTTGTGGAATTTCTCTTCCTTCATCTGTAGATATGAGGTTCTAAGGATGCTTGGCAAGTTTTTTTTCTGGCATACTGTACTAGAGTGGAGGTCTTATCTTATATCTGCTAGCTGAAAGTCTGGTGTTGGAGCAAGGGTGAAATACTACTCCAGTGGAGAAAACTGAACATAGACTTTTGAAAATGACTACTTGATTATTGATACTGAAAAAAAGACAAGACAATAGCATCTGACAACAGTGTTAGCAACTAAGCTGCCTGCCAGTAGGCTGCAGATTGTAAATCTAGTATCTGTATTGAGCCCTGGACTTTGAAGTTTAAGGGGAATGGTGTGCCTTGACCGTCTGAGAGAGAAGGGAATAGGGAACATTTATATGATTTTTTTGGTGGGGGTGGAAGAGAGGAGTAAAGGAAATGCTATCTGTCATGTCATTCATTTAGTATTTGGGGCCCAACTACTAATTGCCATTAGCATCCGTCCCCTCTGTTGATGACAATTTCAAAATGCCTCTCTGCACATTTTCAAATACCCTGAGAAGTAGATGGTATTGTTTTGGTTGAGAAAGCTTAATTAGAGGAAGTTCTAAATCCAGAACTTTGTGACACAATTCTTCATGTTACACATCACTGTGTCACAGCACAGTCATTGGGACTTATGAATTA